CCGGCTCCAGGCGTGACAACCACCGATTCTCCGCCTCCCTGTTGCGCCCCTGGTCTGGTCTGGACCTCGGCGCGCTGCTTGCCCTCTCCTTCCTCCCACGAAGTACCAAGCCCTGTCTGGACCCTGGTGTGGGAGACCCCGAACCTGGAGAGGGGCTGACGTCTGGGTCTGGACTGGAACCGCTGACTGGAGCTGGACCCGACGACGGTGGAGCGAACTGCTCTGGCTCCGGAGTGGAGCAGCTGACCGGAGCTGAACTGGGCACCGGTGGAGCGGACTACTCTGGCTCCGGAGTGGAGCAGCTGACCGGTGCCGAACCAGGCACCGGTGGAACAGGCACGGGCCGTGCAGGACTGGACACACGCACCACTGGCTTGGTGCGAGGAGCAGGAACAGGCCGGACCGGGCTGGCGACGCGCACCACTGGCTTGGTGCGGGGAGCAGGAACGGGCCGTGCAGGACTGGCGACGCGCACCACTGGCCTGGTGCGAGGGAGAGGAACAGGCCGTACCGGACTGGCGACGCGCACCACTGGCCTGGTGCGAGGGGCAGGAACAGGCCGGGCCGGGCTGGCGACGCGCACCACTGGCTTGGTGCGAGGGGCAGGAACAGGCCGGGCCGGGCTGGCGACGCGCACCACTGGCTTGGTGCGAGGGGCAGGAACAGGCCGGGCCGGGCTGGCGACGCGCACCACTGGCTTGGCGCGAGGGGCAGGAACAGGCCGGACCGGGCTGGCGACGCGCACCACTGACTTGGCACGAGGGGCAGGAACAGGCCGGACCGGGCTGGCGACGCGCACCACTGGCTTGGCGCGAGGGCCAGGAACAGGCCGGGCCGGGCTGGCGACGCGCACCACTGGCTTGGTGCGAGGGACAGGAACAGGCCGGACCGGGCTGGCGACGCGCACCACTGGCCTGGTGCGAGGAGCAGGAACGGGCCGGACCGGACTGCGAAGGCGGACTGGAGGTCTGGAGTGGAGAGCTGGCACAACCCGTCCTGGCTGGCTGCCCACTTTCACACTACACGTGCGGGGCGCTGGCACAGGACGCACTGGGCTGTGCACGCGCACTGGCGATACAGCTTGTAGAACTGGCGCAGGATACGTGGGACCGAGGAGGCGTACTGGAGACCAGGAGTGTTGAGCCGGCACACCCCGTCCTGGCTGGATGCCCATCTTCGCACGGCACGTGCGTGGTGCAAGCAGAGGACGTACAGGACTGTGCCGGTGCACTGGCGACACAGTACGTAGCTCCGCATAACATGGAGCTTGCCCAGTCATACGCCTTCTCGCGTGAGTACGGGGAGTTGGCTCTGCTCTAATCCTAGGCTCCGCCAACCACCCTCTTAGCCCCCCCCAAAATATTTATTGGGGCTGTCTCTCGGGCTTCTTCCTCGACCGGCTTCCTCTGTGCTGCCGTTGCTCCTCTCCTGCCTGGGCATCTACCTTTGCCCATGGCCCTTTCCCCGCAAATATCTCCTCCCATGACCACCATTTGCCCACCTGTGACATGGCAATTCGCTCTTCCTGGGCACGCTGCTTGGTCCTCGTTTGGTGCGATCTTCTGTCACGTTCGTTCATCGACGGGTCAGACCAAGACGCAGCGTGATATGCATACATGTTTATTTAAAGGAATAAACAACCGACCAAGGCAGCACAACACAGTCCAAGGCAGCACAACACAACATACCTTAACTGGAACAAGTTCCCACAACCCACTAGTGCCAATAGGCTGCCTAAGTATGGTCCCCAATCAGAAACAACGAGCTACAGCTGCCTCTGATTGGGAACCACACCGGCCAACATAGAAATACACATAATAGAACACCAACATAGAAATACCCAACATAGAACATACACACCCTGACTCAACATTTAAGCGTCCCCTGAGTCAGGGCGTGACAGTACCCCCCCCCCAAAGGTGCGGACTCCGACCGCACAACATAAACATAACAGGGTAGGGGCCGGGTGGGCATTCCGCCTCGGAGGCGGATCCGGCTCCAGGCGTGACAACCACCGATTCTCCGCCTCCCTGTTGCGCCCCTGGTCTGGTCTGGACCTCGGCGCGCTGCTTGCCCTCTCCTTCCTCCCACGAAGTACCAAGCCCTGTCTGGACCCTGGTGTGGGAGACCCCGAACCTGGAGAGGGGCTGACGTCTGGGTCTGGACTGGAACCGCTGACTGGAGCTGGACCCGACGACGGTGGAGCGAACTGCTCTGGCTCCGGAGTGGAGCCGCTGACCGGAGCTGGATCAGGCACCGGTGGAGCGGACTGCTCTGGCTCCGGAGTGGAGCCGCTGACCGGAGCTGGACTGGACCCCGGTGGAGCGGATTGCTCTGGCTCCGGAGTGGAGCAGCTGACCGGAGCTGAACTGGGCACCGGTGGAGCGGACTGCTCTAGGCTCCGGAGTGGATCCGCTGACCGGAGCTGGACTGGACCCCGGTGGAGCAGATTGCTCTGGCTCCGGAGTGGAGCAGCTAACCGGAGCTGGATCAGGCACCGGTGGAGCAGACTGCTCTGGCTCCGGAGTGGAGCAGCTGACCGGAGCTGGATCAGGCAACGGTGGAGCGGATTGCTCTGGCTCCGGAGTGGAGCAGCTGACCGGAGCTGAACTGGGCACCGGTGGAGCGGACTACTCTGGCTCCGGAGTGGAGCAGCTGACCGGTGCCGAACCAGGCACCGGTGGAACAGGCACGGGCCGTGCAGGACTGGACACACGCACCACTGGCTTGGTGCGAGGAGCAGGTACAGGCCGGACCGGGCTGGCGACGCGCACCACTGGCTTGGTGCGGGGAGCAGGAACGGGCCGTACCGGACTGGCGACGCGCACCACTGGCCTGGTGCGAGGGAGAGGAACAGGCCGTACCGGACTGGCGACGCGCACCACTGGCCTGGTGCGAGGGGCAGGAACAGGCTGGGCCGGGCTGGCGACGCGCACCACTGGCTTGGTGCGAGGGGCAGGAACAGGCCGGACCGGGCTGGCGACGCGCACCACTGGCTTGGTGCGAGGGGCAGGAACAGGCCGGGCCGGGCTGGCGACGCGCACCACTGGCTTGGTGCGAGGGGCAGCAACAGGCCGGACCGGGCTGGCGACGCGCACCACTGACTTGGCGCGAGGGGCAGGAACAGGCCGGACCGGGCTGGCGACGCACACCACTGGCTTGGCGCGAGGGGCAGGAACAGGCCGGGCCGGGCTGGCGACGCGCACCACTGGCTTGGTGCGAGGGACAGGAACAGGCCGGACCAGGCTGGCGACGCGCACCACTGGCCTGGTGCGAGGAGCAGGAACGGGCCGGACCGGACTGCGAAGGCGGACTGGAGGTCTGGAGCGGAGAGCTGGCACAACCCGTCCTGGCTGACTGCCCACTTTCACACTACACGTGCGGGGCGCTGGCACAGGACGCACTGGGCTGTGCACGCGCACTGGCGATACAGCTTGTAGAACTGGCGCAGGATACGTGGGACCGAGGAGGCGTACTGGAGACCAGGAGTGTTGAGCCGGCACACCCCGTCCTGGCTGGATGCCCATCTTCGCACGGCACGTGCGTGGTGCAAGCAGAGGACGTACAGGACTGTGCCGGTGCACTGGCGACACAGTACGTAGCTCCGCATAACATGGAGCTTGCCCAGTCATACGCCTTCTCGCGTGAGTACGGGGAGTTGGCTCTGCTCTAATCCTAGCTGACCGGTGCCGAACCAGGCACCGGTGGAACAGGCACGGGCCGTGCAGGACTGGACACACGCACCACTGGCTTGGTGCGAGGAGCAGGAACAGGCCGGACCGGGCTGGCGACGCGCACCACTGGCTTGGTGCGGGGAGCAGGAACGGGCCGTACCGGAATGGCGACGCGCACCACTGGCCTGGTGCGAGGGAGAGGAACAGGCCGTACCGGACTGGCGACGCGCACCACTGGCCTGGTGCGAGGGGCAAGTGCACCGGCACAGTCCTGTACGCCAACCACCCTCTTAGCCCCCCCCAAAATGTTTCTTGGGGCTGTCTCTCAGGCTTCTTCCTCGACCGGCTTCCTCTATGCTGCCGTTGCTCCTCTCCTGCCTGGGCATCTACCTTTGCCCATGGCCCTTTCCCCGCAAATATCTCCTCCCATGACCACCATTTGACCCACCTGTGACATGGCAATTCGCTCTTCCTGGGCACGCTGCTTGGTCCTCGTTTGGTGCGATCTTCTGTCACGTTCGTTCATCGACGGGTCAGACCAAGGCGCAGCGTGATATGCATACATGTTTATTTAAAGGAATAAACAACCGACCAAGGCAGCACAACACAGTCCAAGGCAGCACAACACAACATACCTTAACTGGAACAAGTTCCCACAACCCACTAGTGCCAATAGGCTGCCTAAGTATGATCCCCAATCAGAAACAACGAGCTACAGCTGCCTCTGATTGGGAACCACACCGGCCAACATAGAAATACACATAATAGAACACCAACATAGAAATACCCAACATAGAACATACACACCCTGACTCAACATTTAAGCGTCCTCTGAGTCAGGGCGTGACACATTGTTGGAAAGCTGGAAGCTAATGAGCCAAGCTGAGCCAAGTGTTTTTGGTTCACTGACAGCTTTTCAACAAGTATGGAGAGCTCAGGAGGCCCCGCTTTGTTTAATTTGTGACAACAAGTCTGTGTAGGAAATGGGAGACTGATGATACGTTTTCCCCAGGCATATTGTCAGTGATTAATTTACTCTGATGCTTGCTGCATCCTCTGACACATTTTTTAACAGTCTGGTATTTCTCAACCTGCATTCTTTCCATCAAGTCTCTGACACTGACAGAAACTGTCAGGGGAGAGAAGCTGGAATCAGAGACATCCACATCCAATATGAAAATACAACTGTTTTTCCTATGTCATCTCTTCTGAGGCCATATTGAATGGACTATTTGACGCATTTGTAATCTGAAGGGAATATTACAAGAATTTAGAGTTGATCCAATAATTACGAAATGAGTCGACCCTTAGGCCTTGAGTGTGATCATGGACCAGGTGAGCAAAGTGAGGGTCCTTTCGTCTTCTCTCCAAGTAATTTCAATTGGTCTTAATTCCACAACAGACGCAGATTGGAGGGAAGAAGAACACGGTGCTGCTGCCCAAGCTGACCCCCAACACTCCCTACTCCATCACTGTGTCAGCCATTTACGGCAGCGGGGAGAGCAAGGACATCTCTGGCAATGGAAAGACCAGTGAGTGACCTACTGTAACTGTGGCCTCGCTAAGGCCTTCATGATTACATCATGTTCCCTTTCGGCCTCTCAACTAAACCTTCCCTCCCTCAGGGAACCGGGGTTACATTTGTTACCTAGATGCTGGTGTTAAAGATGCCCTAAATACTGTCTTTGTAAAACATAGATTTTACGCCTACCACATGCCACTTCTGTACCTCTACTTACATTTTCACATCAGAAGCTCACGGTTGTCATTTAACATAGTAGGAATCCTAAGACCTCCTTTCTTCTCTCTCTCCAGAGCCTCTGGGCGGAGTGAGGAGCCTCCAAGTCACTGACCCCACCACCAGCACCCTGAACGTCCAATGGGAGGCCGCCGAGGGCAATGTGCGCCAGTACAAGATCTACTATGTGCCCACCGCTGGAGGAGCTGAGGAAGTGGTAGGCTGGGCCACCTCTAACCAATCACTACCGAATCTCACAATGGCATGCATACGCATTCATTATCACATCCATTATCTAATGCTGAAAGAATACAAACACCAATACACTGTTACTTCACAGATTCACTCAGACAGTCAAACATACAGTGAGCGAAAAAAGTATTTGATCCCCTGCTGATTTTGTACGTTTGCCCACTGACAAAGACATGATCAGTCTATAATATTAATGGTAGGTTTATTTGAACAGTGAGAGACAGAATAACAACAACAAAATCCAGAAAAACGCATGTCAAAAATTTTATAAATTGATTTGTATTTTAATGAGGGAAATAAGTATTTGACCCCTCTGCAAAACATGACTTAGTACTTGGTGGCAAAACCCTTGTTGGCAATCACAGAGGTCAGACGTTTCTTGTAGTTGGCCACCAGGTTTACACACATCTCAGGAGGGATTTTGTCCCACTCGTCTTTGCAGATCTTCTCCAAGTCATTAAGGTTTCGAACCTGACATTTGGCAACTCAAACCTTCAGCTCCCTCCACAGATTTTCTATGAGATTAAGGTCTGGAGACTGGCTAGGCCCCTCCAGGACCTTAATGTGCTTCTTCTTGAGCCACTCCTTTGTTGCCTTGGCCGTGTGTTTTGGGTCATTCTCATGCTGGAATACCCATCCACGACCCATTTTCAATGCCCTGGCTGAGGGAAGGAGGTTCTCACTCAAGATTTGATGGTACATGGCGCCGTCCATCGTCCCTTTGATGCGGTGAAGTTGTCCTGTCCCCTTAGCAGAAAAACACCCCCAAGGCATAATGTTTCCACCTCCATGTTTGACGGTGGGGATGGTGTTCTTGGGGTCATAGGCAGCATCCTCCTCCAAACATGGCGAGTTGAGTTGATGCCAAAGAGCTCCATTTTGGTCTCATCTGACCACAACACTTTCACCCAGTTCTCCTCTGAATCATTCAGATGTTCATTGGCAAACTTCAGACGGCCCTGTATATGTGCTTTCTTAAGCAGGGGGACCTTGCGGGCGCTGCAGGATTTCAGTCCTTCACGGCGTAGTGTATTACCAATTGTTTTCTTGGTGACTATGGTCCCAGCTGCCTTGAGATCATTGACAAGATCCTCCCGTGTAGTTCTGGGCTGATTCCTCACCGTTCTCATGATCATTGCAACTCCACGAGGTGAGATCTTGCATGGAGCCCCAGGCAGAGGGAGATTGACAGTTCTTTTGTGTTTCTTCCATTTGCGAATAATCGCACCAACTGTTGTCACCTTCTCACCAAGCTGCTTGGCGATGGTCTTGTAGCCCATTCCAGCCTTGTGTAGGTCTACAATCTTGTCCCTGACATCCTTGGAGAGCGCTTTGGTCTTGGCCATGGTGGAGAGTTTGGAATCTGATTGATTGATTGTTACCTGTATAAAAGACACCTATCCACAGAAGCAAACTGAGATTAGGAGCACCCTTTAAGAGTGTGCTCCTAATCTCAGCTCGTTACCTGTATAAAAGACCCCTGGGAGCCAGAAATCTTTCTGATTGAGAGGGGGTCAAATACTTATTTCCCTCATTAAAATGCAAATCAATATATAACATTTTTGACATGCGTTTTTCTGGATTTCTTTGTTGTTATTCTGTCTCTCACTGTTCAAATAAACCTACCATTAAAATTATAGACTGATCATTTCTTTGTCAGTGGGCAAACGTACAAAATCAGCACGGGATCAAATACTTTTTTCCCTCACTGTACATACAAAAATACTATTCATTTACCAGACTTTTTTCTCTCTTTTTAATCCTGTTTTATTAAGTTTTTCCAAATGTTTACCAGACGTTTCATATCACCTCTGTGTAGCTATGTGACTCAGTCCTGTTGTGTGGTTGTATCTACAGGCCCAGGTGTCTGGTAGCACCACCAACACTGTGCTGAAGAACCTGATGTCTGACACCCTCTACACCATCACTGTGGTCCCTCTCTACCCCCCTGGAGAGGGCAAACGCATGTCTGAGAACGGCAAGACACGTGAGTCCACGTACAGGTTTACTGTTAGGAGGGTTCACGTTATCTAGTATAGACGACCTGCCTCAACAACTCTTTTCTCATGGCAATTGCCATGACCTACCATGGTCAATTTAATGAAGGAGCCTGTGTACAATCCAAAATAGTTATATTCATACCATTCTTGGTATAGCATTTCCTGAGGAGAAGATTGTACAGTGTGCTAAAGGCTACAATCTATGATAATGAGCTCGGTTTTTGTTTGGTCATTCTTTGAGATCTGATGTATCTGTAGAGCATCCACTCTCTGGTAGTGTGTTGGCTTTACTCCTTATGCCAGTAAACTCTTGTAATGTGCCCAAAATATGTCCCAGTCTTATTGTAGCTGAATTTTCCTAGTAAATTAAGCGAACTCCTTTTATATCTGGGGGCAATGCCAAAAAGATCTAACATGTTTTTGGTTGTCATCTGTTTACAGCTAAAATGTCCACTGCAATGCTTGATAGTATGATTCACTGTAGACACTATATTTAGTTTAGTTTCCATCCATTTTGAACAGACCATCCCTCTTCCAGTTTCTTCCACAATTATAAGGCTGAGCCTCCACTCAGTATGACTCAGTCTTTAGTGGGCTGATTGCACAGGAAGGAATTCCTCTGTGTTGGCAACACTAGTGGTGTCTCCAGCCTTAAGGTAATGGGGTCTGTTTATGGGGTGTAATGACTGGTAGTGGTTGTGGTAGCACGGCTTGGGGGCTAGCATGACGTGAGTAATCTGCTCCCCCATGGAAAAAACTAGAGGAGGGAAGAGAATGAATTGAGATAATTTTTTCACTTTCCATTCATCAGCCTTCTCTAGACTGGCTATATTTAACAAAGGTCACTTTATGTCATTACTGTTACTGGTACCCTGATTACCCCAAAGCCATAGCCTAATGGTCTCCTGTCTATCCTGTTGTTAGAGTCCTTGGTTCATCTGTCCTGTATTAGATCCATCAGAATGTACCCACAGGGACATCGATCAATGATAGCTTTCAAGCTTTTGATCTCTATCAGAATTATAGGATTGCTTCTTCAATCTCAATGGAATCTATATTTCTTTAGGCAGTCTGACAAATGTTGTTAATCACATCTAAACGGGCCTTTAGTCATCTTTTATCAATTTATGAAATTATTAATTTTTGCTCAGAAAAATGATATTGACGTGGACTACCCATTGATGATGTGCTTTCATGGTGAAGCCCAGGCCTCTTGTTCCTTATTACTTCTGGTCTCTAAGGAAATAAGCTCCCCATGTACTTCCCACTCTGTCTTTATGAGGGTATAATGCTGAGGGGTACAAAGACTGGAAACATCTGCTTTAGTTTTGAAGGCAATTTTCAAAGAGGGCTACAGACCTTCTGAGCAACCGTTAGCTAGGTACTGTAGTGTTATTTACTGAAGGTCAGCATGATATAACTGCTGCCTGTTTAGAGCAGAGTCTGTGTATTGTAGACTGGGGAACTATGTCGTGTTTTGCTACAGTTTTAAGACTGGTCAACTATGTCGTGTTTTGCTGCAGTTTTAAGACAGGACAACTATGTCGTGTTTCGGCAGTTCTAAGATTGGGCAACTATGTCATGTTTTGCTGCAGTTTTAATGGTTGAGTCAACTAGTATGTATTGTACACAGACCCAGTGAAAGCTTTGATGGCTTCAAGGTGAACATTTCCTAGTGTCTCATTCATCCACCAATAATTTAGTTGGACTCTCGAATGAATTTTTTCGGCTGCTGTTCTCTTCCCACTCACCCCCACTCTCTTCTTTCCCCATCTCTCTCTTTCTTTTGCTCTCTCCCTCTCCTCCTCCCTCCCTCCATTCCCCCCCACCCCCCACCCCCTCTCTCTCTCCTCTCTCTCTCTTTCTCTCTCTCTCTCTCTCTCTCTCTCTCTCTCTCTCTCTCTCTCTCTCTCTCTCTCTCTCTCTCTCTCTCTCTCTCTCCACAGTGTCGCGTACCCCCGTGAGGAACATCCAGGTCTTCGGCCCCACCACCAACACCCTGAACGTGCGCTGGGAACCCGCCTCGGGCAAGGTCGTGCAGTACAGGGTTGTCTACGCCCCCCTGAGCGGCACCAAGCCCTCCGAGTCGGTGAGTCACCACCAGGGAGACCCATAGGGATTAACCCCGCCCCAGGTCAGAGGTCAATTGTTAGTGTCCAGGAACTTGGGTTGTGTGCGGGGGTGGCCGAGTCGAACGCTTCAGTTAATTTACAGATTTACATCACTACAGCTCTTTGTGAAGGAACAGAACGGAGCAACATCTACCTGTTTGTGCTCCACATCGACCGTCTCTCTGGTGGTGGTTCTTATTTAACAGTCTATTACTGGTTTAAGGCGAGATGTTCATGTTCATTAATTAAAACAGGAAGCTGTCTGGGCTTTTTCCCCTCCTTATGTGGCTTGACGGTGCCCACATCTGGAGTTATAAAGGATGTCACAAACAACTAATAGAGTGCTAGTTGACATTGCACAAACAGCCACATCTGTGAGAAGCATTGAGACACTGAGACCCTGTTTTAACTTAACAGGTCTTTGAAGAGTGATGCTGTTTCCATTTTATTGATAGCTAGAAGTACTGTCTTTGTTCTTATAAAGCCATAACATTGTGTTTCTGTGGGAATATTATGATGAACTTAGGGCTGGACTTTTCCAGTGCCAGGGCCAGCTTTCCACGTCAGCAGCCATGTGGCCAGTGTCACGATGCACCATCAAATTTAACACAGGGAGGTTTGGTGTATGCATTACTAGATTAGGAAAGCAGCCTTGTCATATTGGGTTTACTTCTTGAGAAGAACATGTTGCTATTAAACCCTCCAAAGTGGTGACCGGCGTAAGGGTTCGATGACGTTCGCCAAAAACAGTCCCATCAGAGACACAGAAATAGAGATACACACATTGAACATGACGCAATGGTGTTTGGGGTCAAAGTGAGAGAGGGAAACCAGATGCTGGGTGGGTGGACTCCTGTATATTTTGTACGGTATGTGATACTAGGACAAGGCAGGTAGATGAGAAGATCAGGGTAGAGGCTGGTTTACCTTTGATAATGTTATCAAGAGACAGAAAAGTGGGGTCTGGTATCTAGTATGGGTGAACTCAGGGGTAACACAGACACACAGAGATTAGCACAAATCAGTTAGGTCAGAGCAGAGGAGCCAGGCTGCTGTAAGCAACTGTCAACACATTACGTTAGTTACTCAGTGTGTTATTGCCCTAACTGTCTGGAGGGGCCCTACATCATTGACATAAAATTCATACTTGTGTTCCCCCTTTCACTGAGCACTGAGAAGTGTCAACACAAGTGGTTGTTGAGTGAGGTGAGGTGAGGACGAGCTGATAGAGGTGTCACACTGAAACAGCTGTCAGGTTGTCAGACTGGGGGGTCATAGTGAGTGTCAGAGCTGCCAGGACCGTGGGTCACAACAGCATGACAGCATGATTGTTGTTTTCCCCATACAGCTGACACACTTTTCAGACAGGAAGTACTCTTCTCCCCCATCTGGATGTGTCAGTGTAGGCTAGCCTAATTGATGTAGAATAATGTAGATAGTTACAGCTATCCTTGTTATTACTATTAACGCTTGTCTTCATCATAATTTCTCTAGTTTTGAGAATCAAACGTGTGGGTGCAAAAGTTGTAGTTTGATTGAATCCAACCCACTGTAATGCATGCTGTATGCTGTAGACTGCGATTGGTCCTTCAGTGCTGACCTCTGTGTCTCTATCCCCTCTGGTCAGATCCTGGTTCCTGGGACATCCACCACCACCCTGCTGGAGCAGCTGGTCCCAGACATGCCCTACAACGTGGGAGTGGTCGCCATCTACGCTGACGGAGAAGGACCGCCGGCTGAAGACAAGGGCACAACACGTAAGATCCAGTATATACTATCTATCATACATAAGATCCTATTGCCTTTACATGTTTATCCACATCCAAGTAGATGCTTGATATTGTGCTAACTTCTTTATTGTCCCTGTCCCAGTTCCCCGCAGTGGCCCAAGGAACATGCGTGTGTATGATGCCACCACCAGCTCTCTGACCGTGGCATGGGAACATGCTGAGGGACCCGTGCAGCAGTATAAGATCACCTACGCCCCCACCACTGGAGATCCCATCGAGGAGCACGTAAGCACCTATATTGCTGGTATTTCTGATGATATCCTCATCAAACACCATCTTGATGAGTCTACAGCATGAATTAGAGTGTTGCCCAAGGCACAATGTGAGGAGATTGTCAGGATCCTTATTTCTCCTCTGTTTGAAGTACCTGTTGAATAGTATTAATGAACAGTAATACAATGTTCTGCCTGTGTGTCCTGTAGACTATGGTTCCTGGGAACAGAAATACCGTCATCCTGCCCAACCTGGATCCAGACACTCCCTATAAGATCAACGTGCAGGCCATCTACCCTGACGGACCAGGGGGAGATCTGGATGGAGACGGGCGTACAGGTACACTAGCACATTCTATGCTTGGTCCACTATTCAACATGATAGACAAACAGACCCACACGGTTCTCCACAAACACAGTTGTTTGCAGACACATACTGTAAGTTATAGTCACACACACACACACACACACACACACACATTCAAGTAGAGTTTTATAAACTCAGCCAATTATTATTATTCTTGATGTCAGAAACATGGCTTCAGCTCAGTCTGCCTGTGAATGCCAGATACTTTTGAACTGGCTGTCCTCCAATGGTAGATCTCACTAGAGCTGCCCAATACCCAGTCTAATTTCCTCTATCAAGTTACACCACATCAAAGCAAAGACATAGCTTAGGACTGCATGGTTGTGATATTAATGTTAATATTGTAATATGTTTTTAATATGTTTTGACGGTCTGTATTTTCTTCCTCACAGTTGGCATGCTGGGACCTCAGAATCTGAGAGTGTCAGATGAGTGGTATACTCGCTTCAGGGTGTCCTGGGACCCTGCACCCTCCAGAGTGGTGGGCTACAAACTGGTCTACTCGCCTGAAGGTCAGATAGCTACTATTTTACTATTCTAATATACTATTCTATTCAGCTGTGAAAGAAGATTCACTTGACTTACTTAATATACAGTGGGGAAAAAAGGTATTTAGTCAGCCACCAATTGTGCAAGTTCTCCCACTTAAAAAGATGAGAGAGGCCTGTAATTTTCATCATAGGTACACGTCAACTATGACAGACAAAATGAGAAAAAGAAATCCAAAAAATCACATTGTAGGATTTTTTATGAATTTATTTGCAAATTATGGTGGAAAATAAGTATTTGGTCAATAACAACAGTTTCTCAATACTTTGTTATATACCCTTTGTTGGCAATGACACAGGTCAAACGTTTTCTGTAAGTCTTCACAAGGTTTTCACACACTGTTGCTGGTATTTTGGCCCATTCCTCCATGCAGATCTCCTCTAGAGCAGTGATGTTTTGGGGCTGTCGCTGGGCAACACAGACTTTCAACTCCCTCCAAAGATTTTCTATGGGGTTGAGATCTGGAGACTGGCTAGGCCACTCCAGGACCTTGAAATGCTTCTTACGAAGCCACTCCATCGTTGCCCGGGCGGTGTGTTTGGCATCATTGTCATGCTGAAAGACCCAGCCACATTTCATCTTCAATGCCCTTGCTGATGGAAGGAGGTTTTCACTCAAAATCTCACGATGCATGGCCCCATTCATTCTTTCCTTTACACGGATCAGTCGTCCTGGTCCCTTTGCAGAAAAACAGCCCCAAAGCATGATGTTTCCACCCCCATGCTTCACAGTAGGTATGGTGTTCTTTGGATGCAACTCAGCATTCTTTGTCCTCCAAACACGACGAGTTGAGTTTTTACCAAAAAGTTCTATTTTGGTTTCATCTGACCATATGACATTCTCCCAATCCTCTTCTGGATCATCCAAATGCACTCTAGCAAACTTCAGACGGGCCTGGACATGTACTGGCTTAAGCAGGGGGACACGTCTGGCACTGCAGGATTTGAGTCCCTGGCGGCGTAGTGTGTTACTGATGGTAGGCTTTGTTACTTTGGTCCCAGCTCTCTGCAGGTCATTCACTAGGTCCCCCCGTGTGGTTCTGGGATTTTTGCTCACCGTTCTTGTGATCATTTTGACCCCACGGGGTGAGATCTTGCGTGGAGCCCCAGATCGAGGGAGATTATCAGTGGTCTTGTATGTCTTCCATTTCCTAATAATTGCTCCCACAGTTGATTTCTTCAAACCAAGCTGCTTACCTATTGCAGATTCAGTCTTCCCAGCCTGGTGCAGGTCTACAATTTTGTTTCTGGTGTCCTTTGACAGCTCTTTGGTCTTGGCCATAGTGGAGTTTGGAGTGTGACTGTTTGAGGTTGTGGACAGGTGTCTTTTATACTGATAACAAGTTCAAACAGGTGCCATTAATACAGGTAACGAGTGGAGGACAGAGGAGCCTCTTAAAGAAGAAGTTACAGGTCTGTGAGAGCCAGAAATCTTGCTTGTTTGTAGGTGACCAAATACTTATTTTCCACCATAATTTGCAAATTAATTCATTAAAAATCCTACAATGTGATTTTCTGGATTTTTTTTTCTCAATTTGTCTGTCATAGTTGACGTGTACCTATGATGAAAATTACAGGCCTCTCTCATCTTTTTAAGTGGGAGAACTTGCACAATTGGTGGCTGACTAAATACTTTTTTCCCCACTGTACCTATCCAACTATAGAAGACAGTCACAGATATGTTTTGAAGATGTGATTGTTATTGACCTGGAGTGTCCCTGTCTGTGCCTGCTGTTATTGACCTGGAGTGTCCCTGTCTGTGCCTGCTGTTATTGACCTGGATTGTCCCTGTCTGTGCCTGCTGTTATTGACCTGGAGTGTCCCTGTCTTTGCCTGCTGTTATTGACCACCTGGAGTGTCCCTGTCTGTGCCTGCTGTTATTGACCTGGAGTGTCCCTGTCTTTGCCTGCTGTTATTGACCACCTGGAGTGTCCCTGTCTGTGCTTGCTGTTATTGACCACCTGGAGTGTCCCTGTCTGTGCCTGCTGTTATTGACCACTTGGAGTGTCCCTGTCTGTGTCTGCTGTTATTGACCTGGAGTGTCCCTGTCTGTGCCTGCTGTTATTGACCACCTGGAGTGTCCCTGTCTGTGCTTGCTGTTATTGACCACCTGGAGTGTCCCTGTCTGTGCCTGCTGTTATTGACCACCTGGAGTGTCCCTGTCTGTGTCTGCTGTTATTGACCTGGAGTGTCCCTGTCTGTGCCTGCTGTTATTGGCCACATGGAGTGTCCCTGTCTGTGTCTGCTGTTATTGACCTGGAGTGTCCCTGTCTGTGTCTGCTGTTATTGGCCACATGGAGTGTCCCTGTCTGTGTCTGCTGTTATTGACCTGGAGTGTCCCTGTCTGTGCCTGCTGTTATTGACCACCTGGAGTGTCCCTGTCTGTGCCTGCAGGTACTGATCAGACCATGGAGACGTTTGTTGGAGATGTGACCAGCTACCAGCTGCACAACCTGCAGCCTGGAACCACCTACGACCTCAAGGTATTGGCCCAGTACGACGCTGGCCTCAGCGGACCTCTCATTGGACAAGGAACCACACGTAAGTGATTGATTTGTTGTTTGATTGGTTGCTTGATTCATGAGTTGTTTGGTTCATCAAATGATTGTTTGTTTGATTGATTGATTGATTGGTTGGTTGACTGTTCCTGTCTTCACAGTGTACCTGAACATCACTGACCTGACCACCTACAACGTTGGTTATGACACCTTCTGCATGAGATGGACCCCCCACAGGGCTGCCACTTCCTACAGACTCAAACTGAATCCGTTCGACCGTAAGTACTATACCTGGCTGGGAGCCCATTCAGTCCATATAACCTTGATCCCTATGGGGGAGAACTGTTTCTATACAGTAGCTGTTGTTTTATATTGATTTCAGAATGTCTACTGTCGATCAGATATGTAGACAAAGTTTTACCACCCTATCACAAAGGTGTACTTGTTAGAATGTCTAAATATGTTATATAATTGTATTTTATTCATGCCCACTGATCCATCTGTTTCCTATTAACTCTCCGACGCTGGAGTACTGTAAGAGAAGAAAAAAAAGATGGGAAAAAATGTTGGAATATTTAAGTCTGTTTACAGTATGGTAGACATTATAGATGGAAGCAGTGCACTTTGCCACATTAAGTTAATTCATGTTTGTTTGAAAGGGCATATTGAATAACACAAAACACTGTATAAGCCCACTGTTACCTCAGTCCAAGCGCTACCACTAGCTGGCTTTAACCCATCTCCTTCCCCTCTCTTTGAAGATAATAATAATAATGATAATGGATTAGATTTATATAGCGCTTTTTCCAGGTGCTCAAAGTGATTTCCAGTTGCTCAAAGTGCTTGGGGATAAATGAGGTATACCTTTAAAGTGTATGGGGATAAATCATCTGATCCACTGCCAATGTGTGTTACTCTTTCCTCCTACAGCCTCTAACAAGGGAGGTCAGGAGACCACCATCACTGGGTCTGAGAGCCACTACTGTTGGGACGGCCTGACCCCTGACGCCCTCTACAATGCCACCGTGTACACACAGACCCCCAACCTGGAGGGGCCCGGAGTCAGCGTCAAGGAGAGGACACGTAAGAAACCCCACTAACCATCAGACCTGTAACATGTAGCATTTCATTGTGTTTACATTTTACATTTACGCTCTTATCCAGAGCGACTTACATTTACGTCATTTAGCAGACGCTCTTATCCAGAGCGACCTACAAATTGGTGTGTTCAACTTATGATTGCCAGTGGGACAACCACTTTTTATTTTTATTTTTTATTTTTTATGGGTGGGTGGGGGAGGGGGAGGGTAGAAGGATTACTTTTATACTATTCCAGGTATTCCTTAAAGAGGTAGGGTTTCAAGTGTCTCCGGAAGGTGGTCAGTGACTCTGAGCGGGAACTGTGCTTCCGTAGAGGTAGGGGGGCTAGCAGGCCAGAGGTGGATGAACGTAGTGCCCTCGTTTGGGTGTAGAGTCTGATCAGAGCCTGAAGGTAAGGAGGTGCCATTCCCCTCACAGCTCCGTAGGTAAGCACCATGGTCTTGTAGTAGAGGCGAGCCTCAACTGGAAGCCAGTGGAGTGTGCGGAGGAGCGGGGTGACATGAGAGAACTTGGGAAGGTTGAACACCAGTAGGGGTTTAATGGCACAGGTAGGGAGCCCAACCAACAGCGAATTGCAGTAATCCAGATGGGAGATGACAAGTGCCTGGATTAGGACCTGTGACGCTTTCTGTGTAAGGTATGGTCGTACTCTGCGAATGTTGTAGAGCATGAACCTGCAGGATCGGGTCACCGCTTTGATGTTAGCGGAGAACGACAGGGTGTTGTTCAGGGTCACGCCAAGGTTCTTTGCACTCTGGGAGGAGGACACAATGGAGTTGTCAACCGTGATGGCGAGATCATGGAGCGGGCAGTCCTTCCCCGGAAGGAAGAGCAGCTCCGTCTTGCCGAGGTTCAGCTTGAGGTGGTGATCCGACATCCACACTGATATGTCTGCCAGACATGCAGAGATGCAATTCGCCACCTGGTTATCAGAAGGGGGAAAGGAGAAAGTTAATTGTGTGTCGTCTGCGTAGCAATGACAGAGCCAAGTGACTTGGTGTATAGAGAGAATAGGAGAGGGCCTAGAACTGAACCCTGGGGGACACCAGTGGTGAGAGCACGTGGTGTGGAGACAGATTCTCGCCACGCCACCTGGTAGGAGCGACCTGTCAGGTAGGACGCAATCCAAGAGTGAGCAGCGCCGGAGATGCCCAACTCGGAGAGGGTGGAGAGGAGGATCTGATGGTTCACAGTATCAAAGGCAGCAGATAGGTCTAGAAGGATAAGAGCAGAGGAGAGAGAGTTAGCTTTAGCAGTGTGGAGAGCCTCCGTGACACAGAGAAGAGCAGTCTCAGTTGAATGACCAGTCTTGAAACCTGACTGGTTTGGATCAAGAAGGTCATTCTGAGAGAGATAGCAGGAGAGTTGGCTAGAGTTTTGGAGAGAAAAGAAAGAAGGGATACTGGTCTGTAGTTGTTGACATCGGAGGGATCGAGTGTAGGTTTTTTGAGGAGGGGTGCAACTCTCGCTCTCTTGAAAACGGAAGGGACATGGCCAGCGGTCAAGGATGAGTTGATGAGCGAGGTGAGGTAAGGGAGAAGGTCTCCGGAAATGGTCTGGAGAAGAGAGGAGGGGATAGGGTCAAGCGGGCAGGTTGTTGGGCGGCCGGCCATCACAAGTCACAAGATTTCATCTGGAGAGAGAGGGGAGAAAGAAGTCAAAGCATAGGGTAGGGCAGCATGAGCAGGACCAGCGGTGTCCTTTGACTTAATAAATGAGGATCGGATGTCGTCAACCTTCTTTTCAAAATGGTTGACGAAGTCATCCACAGAGTGGGAGGAGGGAGGAGGGAGGGGGAGGAGGAGGAGGGTTCAGCAGGGAGGAGAAGGTGGCAAAGAGCTTCCTAGGGTTAGAGGCAGAGTCTTGAAATTTAGAGTGGTAGAAAGTGGCTTTAGCAGCAGAAACAGAGGAAGAGAATGTAGAGAGAAGGGAGTGAAAAGATGACAGGTCCGCAGGGAGTCTAGTTTTCCTCAATTTCCGCTCGGCTTCCCGGAGCCCTGTTCTGTGAGCTCGCAATGAGTCGTAAAGCCACGGAGCAGGAGGGGAGGACCGAGCCGGCCGGGAGGATAGGGGACATAGAGAGTCAAAAGATGCAGAAAGGGAGGAGAGGATGGTTGAGGAGGCAGAATCAGGAAATCGGAGAGAGAAGGATTTAGCAGAGGGAAGAGATGATAGGATGGAAGAGGAGAGAGTAGCGGGAGAGAGAGAGCGAAGGTTGCGACGGCACATTACCATCTGAGTAGGGGCAGAGTGAGTAGTGTAGGAGGAGAGCGAGAGAGAAAAGGATACAAAGTAGTGGTCAGAGACTTGGAGGGGAGTTGCAGTGAGATTAGTAGAAGAACAGCATCTAGTAAAGATGAGGTCAAGCGTATTGCCTACCTTGTGAGTAGGGGGGGACGGTGAGAGGGTGAGGTCAAAAGAGGAAAGGAGTGGAAAGAAGGAGGCAGAGAGAAATGAGTAGGCAGACGTAGGGACGTTAAAGTCACCCAGAACTGTGAGGGGTGAGCCATCCTCAGGAAAGGAACTTATCAAGGCGTCAAGCTCATTGATGAACTCTCCAAGGCAACCTGGAGGGCGATAAATGATAAAGATGTTAAGCTTGAATGGGCTAGTGACTGTGACAGTGTGGTGTCGAGAAAACAATGCTAATTATGCTGTGAGAACAAGGGAATCCGCTGACACTGTCCTCGATTATAATTCTTTATTACGTTTGAAGATCTCAGCGCCAATTTACAGATATCTGCCGATATCTGGAGAATAACCGGCTCCAATCTGTAATATGTTATTCTCCCCGTCCTTTGTTTTAACCGTGGTATTTATCCTATGCCCTATGTAACATAATATGGGTGTTTTCCCCTACAGACCAATCCCAGGACTCCACCTAACAGACTTCTTCGGCTTTAGGGTGCCCCTATAGAACTACTCTCCAGATGCTCCCTTTAAGCTTAGTCAACATCCTCTAAGACCATTTGCAACCATTAGCAAAGTCATAAATTCCTTAGATACCACATATTTCCCCCCTTCGAGACTAACTAAGTCTCGAAACCAAAAAGAATAGGTTTTTGACAAATAACAATTTTTCTCTTATTGAGTATCTTTAACAATAAACCGAATTTTATGGAGAGTAAACACCTTTTTTTATGGAGTGTAAATACATTACTATGAAATATGAACAAATCTTTATGGAGTGTGAGAGCGAAAAACCTGTCTGGCAGCTTTCTTTCCAAAAATCCATCAATCAATCAAGACAGTAGAATTCTCTCACGGCCCCTCTGCCCCAGGCAACCACTTAAGTACTCCAGATCAATTCATACATCTTTATCAATGCATTTTAAACTATGATGCAATTAAATACACATGAAAGCCTCAGCAAACAAAATACAATCAAATTTGTCCACATTCAGGCTGGTCGACCCATCGGACCCTCCTGTGGATTCTCTCTATCCCTGCCTAGACCCAATATCCCTAAGCATCCACAAAATAAACAAAAACATCTGAGATCCCCACATGTACCCAATAACAGCAAATATCATTCTTCAAAAATGTATACAGAAAGAATATGACACAAATTATGTATTACACATGCAAATATGTCTATATATCATTGCAGACACTGGAATGTAGTCCACTACACTTCATCTCCTCAGCAGTGTCGACTTCCAATGCAACGTCGATGATGGAATCTGAACCTTTCCACACCTTCCTTGTTCCACTTCCTCCAGTCCATTCATATTGTCCCTTCATATTGTCCCTTCATATTGTCCCTTCATATTGTCCATGTTTGAGTATTTGAATCCCCTCTACACATTCCCCCATATGCTTCTGGAAGAAAAGAAAAGACCAAACAGTATCTTTTGCAAAACAACACATTCAAATTAAAACATCAATATCAACTAAAAATTATATATAAAATTATATATAAAATGAATCACATTCCATTTCCCCCCTTTGATTCATCACAAAATACTAACTATCACCATAATATTCAAAAACATGTGAAAAATTCAAAATTGATATCTATCCATCAATACTCCTTTGAGTCTTGACAGATGGTTAAACCCTCTTATCGTTTCATTTGCAAAACCCTTCAAAGTATAGGTAATATTATCTATGTTATCTTCCCAAAATGTTACACCACACCATGGAAAAAGTCCCCACTTCTCTCCTAGACTTATCCTCCAATGGTAGCTTCCCAGACTATGAAACTTCTCTCTTTCAGAATCAGATTTATCTCTTTCCCTTGCTTCCCCTCTTTTAATTTTAAAAACCTCATATGGAAGCTTCAACTTCAACATGTAACAACATCCTTTCCATCCATAGGGTAAGAATATATTCTTTCTCACCACAAACACCAGATGTTTCTCTAAAATTCCCAATAGTCACATTACCATGCACAAACTTCTCTTTCCATCAAAGTACTTATCTTCTTACTAAATTAAACATCAAAGTTACATTATATTTCTCATTACTAACCTTATGTTCCGGCTTACCCAAAGTCATCATATAATCATCACCATCTGATATTCCCCTAAACATCCCCTTTCCATCATATGTTTTATTTTAACAAAAACAGCTTTTAGCCCTCACTGGTTTCACCTCCAATGCTTCATGAAGCGCTGTTAACTGATTTTCCTTCCCATCTAACAAATTCCCATAGGTTAATTCACTTAACCAATAACACTTAAACCTAGGCCTAAACAAATGCTTCCACAACTACATTATTATATCTGTTAATGATTGTTGCTGATACAACAGCCATTATAAAGCATAAGATTGACACATACTTGACAGAGGTTGAGCTACCTTCTCTAAGATTCAACCCCATGTTCCTGGTGCTGAAATTCTCAACAGACATGGACCCTCAACATTCCTCACTGATCTTACAGAATGAGTTAACTCCTTGAACCAAAGATTCCTACCTGCCCATCCATCTTTAATTTCCAAACAGAAGAATCAAATC